ACACATGGTAACAGTGACAGGAGGAGGGTGACAGGAGGAGGAGGAGGACAGCATCAGCACAGGACCACAACAACGGCATTGTGGTGGCGTTTTGCTTTCATCTCTCTTGGCGAACACACAGCAACTGATAGAAAAGTCAACACTCCCCGTCGGGGAATCGAACCCCGGTCTTCCGCGTGACAGGCGGAGATACTGTCCACTATACTAACGAGGACTGCGTGGACCTCTGTTATTGTCATGTCAGCCACCGGCGGGTGCGGCCCCGCGACTTGTGCGATGTTTAAGGCGCATTGTTGAGCACACTCCCCAAACAGTTTCACCACCATTAACGCCTTGAGTCAACCCACTGACTATGATGCATTATTCTAAATAATAACGACACCAACTTCCCTTTCGTATGCCTGGACGCAAAAACGGTGGGACGATGTTCCCCCGTTCGAATTGATGGCCAGGAAAGCCACCCAACATGGTTTATGTAGTGTAGTGGTTATCACATTCGCCTCAACGACTTTGCCCACACAGCCCACCACCTGTTCAACCTGCTTGGTTCTGGGAGGCAGTTCAGGTCAATAAATACCCGCACGACCAGGCTTTTTCCCTTGGGCCATATGCTCACTAAACAAAAACAATATCTCTCTGTAGTCATTGGCCACCCACCACACCAACACCCTCCCCCCGTCTCGTCTGCCATCATCAACCGTATCTCTGGACATTGTTGCATTTGAGCACTTTATCACAAGGCACTTTATAGTCTGCTGCATCTACGGTTGCTATGCTGCTATACTTGTGTGCAGGAGAGCACCTTGTTTTGTCTGGGGGTTTTGTGTGGGGGGTGTAGTGTATGGACTTGGGTGGGAGTGTATGAGTGAGAGAAGGTGGGCTGCCCTTGGGCCTGGGTGAGAGGGTGTTTGAGAGAGAGAGAGAGAGTATGAAGGGGGTTTCTTCTGTCTTTTTTATATATTTATTAATGTTTATTATTGTCAAAGCACTGACCAAGAGTGTCAACTCTAATTTCATTGTGTTTGATACTATGTATTTTATGTAATGACAAAGCTTCTATTCTATTCTATTCTATTCTATTCTATTCTATTCTATTCTATTCTATTCTATTCTAACATTTGCATTGTACAAGTAACTTCAGAACTTAAGAAGAATAAAGAACCCGCAAAAAGAAAGCCAAAGATACATAGAAAGAGCCCAAATCACAGAGGCAGAGCTGAGGGTTACATAGTAGAGTAAAAGTCAGCATAAAAATCCTGAGTAAAGCAATAGGAAACGCCAGCATAGCATTCCAGTGCCAAATTCAAAGCAGCATCTAACCAATTATGGCTGTGTTCATACCAAGGGGTGGTCTCGAGCTTCTCTGTCCAGGAGAAAGCAGAGGCTAAATACCTTTAGGAACTAATTTGAGGTCGTTTATTAAACGTACAGTTACAATTGTTAAATATCTACGACGATCACATATTTGACATCCCACAAAGCATGTGATTGAAATGACTTCAAACGTGACATGTTTGTCTCTTACAGTCCCTGAGATCATATAAAATGTGTAAACCTGCACATGAACTGCGGAATTTCAGGATATATGAAAATCATTTCCAACATAATGAGGAACACAAGCATATATATTCAACAACAGGGTAGTTAACACTGATTGCAGTGACAGAGACAGCAGAAACACAAACACTTCAGATGTGATGTGTTCTTCTTCAGTACTGGTCCTGATGACCTGGTGTCATAAACTGAGTCCAGATGTTGGGATCATCACTCTGGTAAAGTTGAATTTCTTGAATTTGAGGATTTATAGCAGTCGTCTCATTTAGTTCAGTTAATTCCTGTATAGAAAGCTCCGGGTGTTATTAGGAGAAGAAGGTCAGGAGGTCACAGTGAAGAAGGCCATCTTCCATTCTCCAGAGGTGTACTTATTCTCATAAATGACACTATTATCAGGTTCTGGGGGAGGTAGGAGACGCCCTGTTGTCTCCAATAAAGCTGTGAGGGGTCATTCTGTCGTAAACATCTGATCAGCAGATGTCCCATGTGGATGGACATTTTGAGTTCTTCTGAAATGGTCTCCGACCAGATTTACAGCTGTGGGAAAAATCTCTGGATTCTCTGTGTGTGACTTTGGAAAGTGCCTGTTGTTCTGCTCCTCAGTCTGCTGTGTTGTGGTCATAAAGGCGCCCGACTGGATTCAGAACTTGGCTTTAATAAAGAGTAGTGACCAGGAGACCATACAGCAGGTACATACTGGCAGGTATCGGCGCATCAATACACAATGTGCATGTGCAGACCTACGGTGTCTGTGACAGGTCAGTATTACTGAGTTCACAGTCAATACTCTACAGTGATGAAATATGTTCAAGTATAAGTGCGGGTGTCACAACACCCACATCCCCCACGGGTGTGACGCCCATACCAGCGGTTCAAATGAACATGTAGTCGTTACAGTTTTCATGGCCTGTCACTCAGTGGAGGCCAGAGAGGAGCCTGTCGTCAGGAGAGAAAAACTGCACACTCGTGGACCAATAGGAGCGACATATTTCAACTTAAGGTCACTAGTTTTGTCTCGAGGCGCCAAGTCCTTAAAAGTTGCTAAATCTAGCGACAAAGTCAGTTGGAAGCACTGCGTTGCAGAACGGCTCTTATGCAAATGTGATTGTCTGGTAGCATCAGGCGCTGCACCGGCTAGAAGCAGAGCAGCGCTACGCCTTCATGCTGCCCAGAAGATCAGGTGACAACAGACATGCATGTGCATAGCTTTTGACCCATTTGCACTGGCAGGGGGAGGATAAATAATTTTCCAGGATAACTTAACCGTTTTCAAGGCATTTGACCTTTTTTTTCATTGGTGTCCATGATTGGAAAATTGCTCAATCATTTTCCAGGTTTTCCAGGACGGGTGGGAACCCTGATGGTAGAGCTGCCTTCACCTCCATCCTTTGTTTGTATAAAGCAATACTGTAGTTTGAAAACTAAGGAGGCTTTTCTTAGACACATTTGTATGAAATGCTTACAACTGTTAAACCTCGAGGCTACAAAGTAGATCGTTTTGGTTCAAGAGTGAGTTAGAGGCCACCGCATTTGTAACTGATCAATGTGATGAGTCACGCAGAATGTGGCCTGCAGATGAAGAGACCACCGATCATGTCATCTAAAATAGAAATCTCATTACTCTCACTCTCTGCAGCCCACATATAGAAGTGTTAAATATTTAAAATGTCGTCATCAGCATCACACTGGCCTGTACTTCATAAAGATTAATGATCCAACTTGTGAGTGGTGATTCTGTTGAAGATACAATTTAAAATGACTTCAGATTTGTGATCCCTGCAAATAACACGTGGAGCTCGTCTTCACAGCATCATGTGGCTTTCTTCTTACTGTCTTACTTATGCTGAAATCTGATCTAGGCTGACCTGTTTTTCTTACTTTATTGTAATGATCCAGTGCTTTTGTTGTGGTTCACCATTTTTTTTCTCCTACAAATTGTGTTCCTGCTCTTGACTGACAGCTGAGAACAGAAACATTGGCCAGAAAAACACAAAACGGGAGCTTAGCTTCTCAACAGAAACTGTGAAAAAAAAAGAATTTGAAACATCAGATGGCTTAAATCTCACAACTACAAGTCTGCAACGCATCCATGTATTCTGTATGTCGACTGCCACTCCATCACTTACGGAAGCAGGTTTTTAAATCTTTCACTGACCAGCAAGCACAGTATGAGCGGCCCGTAGCTCCAGCGGTAGTGCCGGTTGTTTACTTATCACGAGGTCGGCGGCTCATTCTCCAGAATCTGGGCAACACACTGAAGCCCACGTTGCTCCCAGTGGGTGTCCATGCAAAGCACATTGTACTGGCAAAGATGCAAAGTAAGTGCAGACCGTTTAACAACAGGAATAATTAGAGGAAGAAAAATGGTTTCAGATATGGTGAGCTGATGGTCACTGAAAATGTGAAAACGTGAAACATATTCTAGAAGACTGAATGACTTCTAAGGACCATAATGAGTAAACAGGATATATCAAAACTTTGCTTCTTGTTAAGGCGAGTTTTTGATCCAATGCAACCACCAGTAAGACTTCAAACTGCTCAAGACGTTTGCAAAAAAAAAAAAACAAAACAAACAACAAAACTGAAATAATTAAAAGGTAAAAAAAAAAAAAGAGATTTACCAACATGAAAAACATTGTTCTGTGTCTCCCTCTAGTGGGGCTGCAGGGAAACCAACTGGAAAATACACACAAATACATCAGGATTTCTTCTAGAGTTTTATTTGGCATTTGTCATTTCCACCACCATTAATAATCTGTAACCACCATAACAGCGTCATCACAGTGAAAGGTATGTGTCACTGTAAAAATAGGATATAAAACACAGGAAGCTTAAGAATGCATAATAGTGCTCATAAAATATATAATAGAGAGGCTAATATGTGTTGATTTGTTAATAAAGGATATGATTAAAAAGAACACTGAAGGAGTGCCGGTATGATGTAAAACAGCAAACACAAGACAGTGAACATATAAAACGTCAGAACCAGGTTTTCTGACCTGGATGCACTTAATTCATAAAACCCTCCAATGAACACAGATCGTCTTCTGTAGAATTCACTGCAGCTCAGTCATCACTACGAAGTGTCTCACATGTGAAAGCTTGAAAGAACTACTATATATCTGGCAATCAGGCCATCAGTCAACACAGACGCTGTAAGCTTGTGATGAGGAGTTTAACCCTAAAGCCATGAACAGTTTGCAGACAGACAGAATCAGATCTATGGCTCCAATTTGGGTAAATATCATCAGTATTAATTGTCAAACAAATAATCATGTAAATAAAATGCATAAATGAATCAACGAATTATAAAATAACTCAACACCGACGTCATTATAATGACATGTTAGTCCAACAACATCACTGATTGGCTGAAAGGTGACGGGCGGGCAAACAACAAGCTGGACAACAAGGTCACAGAAAACAATTCAATAAAAACGTATAAAACACATCTTCATATTCAACCTGTCTCATTTAAAAATCAAAACATGTTTTTCAGTAGCTTCCCTCTCGACTTATTTATACCATGAACTATTTTATATTGTGTGATAAAACATAGTTTGTTTCATGCTGTTAACAACATACTCACATTCAACATTGGACACTTTGGAGTTTTATACATGATTAGCACTTTGATCTGGCATCAATAGATTCTGTTTCCTTCAGTCAGTGGAAGCAGATGAAGACCAGAATCATTCCTTCTTTTAAAGAGCTGACTGAACAGTATCAGGGCTGCAAATGCATCCGATATGTTACTGGATACTGAAGAGAAAAGCTTTACAGAAAAGGTGTCATACTGCTTCCCTGTATCTTCTTATAAAACAGAAAAAGAATTGCACGAATGAACTCATAATTGCACATTACTGTGAGGAGATAATTCACTGCTGCAGATCAGCACCAGGAGCTCACAGCTAAACATTCTTCAGAGCTCAGCTGCTGTTAGTAACAATCCTCTCCTGATTTGGTGTTAAAAACAGTTGTTAGTAGCTAAGATATACGTGTGAAAAGCAAAGCGTAACAAAGGTCAGTCTGACGTTTAACATCAACTCCTGCAGCCTCCACGCTGATCTCACACTGCATCCGATTTGGTCCAAACAAGAAGAAATCCATCACAGGATCGTACAGCTGGATGTGGGCGTCTCTTCTCTGCCAGAAAAAACAAATACAAGTTTTTAAATCAATCACGTGTCGACGATATCACCGCAAGAAAGTCAACGGACGTCACTCCAATATGTTCCCAGCTCCTATCCATCATGTGAACGCTACAGTGGAAATCCTGTTCATGTTCACACGTCATGGATTCAGACGTTAAGACGCAATACAGAGAGGACACCTTTGTCGTCTTTGTTTTTGTTTACAAGGTGATGTGGTAATCCTGCAGTTGCCGCCGAGTTTAAAATTTTAATCGTAAAACTTGTTACCAGTCAATGTTTATGGTGTTGACATGTGCGGGGTCAGGTCACCTACATTTTCTGGATGAAACGACTACATTTCAACAGTGAATCTGTCCAACGACGCTGAACAAAAATATAAACACTGGCCAGCCTATGGCACACCTGTGCAATAATCCTGCTGTCTAATCAGCATCTTGATGCCACACCTGTGAGCAAAGGGGAAGTGCTCACTAACACAGGCCCTGTTTACACAAAGCAAAAACGTTGATATTTCAATATGTCTGGGCCTTTGGTTTACACGTAAACAAAGCTACAAGTCAAAACGATCACATCTGAAAACTCCGGCCACAGTGGAGATTTGGAAAAACTCCGTCTTTACGTTTGCATGTAGACAAGAGGAGACGGAGTTTGATGTCACAGTAAGCGACAAAAGCGTCACATGCATGCGACCATGTTTACAGTTTGGCTACGTCCACTTACTTAGACTGACATGTTTACAGTCAATATGTTCAAGTATTTCAAGTATTAAAAATCTGAACTGAGCATCAAGTCCTGCAGTGTGAACGTAGCCAATCTGTGGGATTGTTCAGTCAGATAATACAACGTTATCCTGATTGGTGTCATGTCGGAGTCAGAATCCAAGGCTGTCGCTATGTTAAGGCTGTTTTTTATGGGTTCTGTCGGATAGCCGTCAATGTTGGACAGCAAAGGTTTTCAGATTGTTAAGGGTCAAATTATCGAGTCACAACTGTCATCATTGTACAAACTAGAGCTCAATATTAGCAGAGAAGTAACAGTTCCTGATGTTTTTGAATGGAAGTGGATTTTAAACTTGTATTAGAAAGACAAGTCAAGAACAACAAAACAACGACAATGATCCCACCTTTGCTCTGGAGCGTCACACTGCTTCATTCTCTTCTGGGGGCTGCACTCGTGCTCAGTGGGAGTGTTCTGAGCACGTTTACTGGTCTCAGCGCTCATCTGAGGGAAGCAGCAGATATGTTTTTACTCTGGTGGCATATTAGAGGGAAGCTTGAGTATGAAGGCCGAAACATTTGTCTGCACTGTACAAAACAATGTCTAAATAGGTAACTATCTAAACTAATCCTTGCTACTTAATGACCTGCATTCCTATTCATTATCTATCACCATTTGGAGTTACCTGTATTTCTGCATACATTTGTCTGAAAACATGGTCAGCTCTTCATCCAAGTTAAAGTCCTGAACAAATACAATCTAATTTAACTAATAACACCCACAACGCTGCCTGGAAGTGTCCAACACCATCTGTAATGCTGCATATCTGTGGATATGCAAATTAGTGCCCACCTCTATCTCCACTAACCCCCCACCGCTTAGCAGCCGCTTTTAAATTAACAGACAATGTTTCAGTTTTTGTCCTTCAGTGCTGATTGGCCATTATTCATGACATGTAACCAACCAGATGTGGATCAGGCATTGCTCAAGACCAGAGAGAGGGGGCTGCATCAGAGCTTCTTAAATCAGACATCAGTTAAAAAAACACACAAACAACATCTTGAA